AGTTAGAGTCAAGTTCTTGTTTTCGGCACTTTCCTTCTCAATTCTAGGGGCTAAGTGACATTCGTTCAAATTTTGCCCAAAAGTTTTACACCAAGGGTAGGCCCTTGGTTTCCAAGAATACTCCACCCTTATGTTCACACAATCACCATTTGGGAGGCCACGTTCCACTGAATTTGGGAATGAAGAAGATGTGTCGATTTCAACACAAACTCTTGCATACTCCAATCTATCCCCAACATCCGTAATGTTATCCATGTAGAGAGGTTGTCCAATAGCACTCGCAACATAACTCAACCCTTTAGCAGTCCAAAACTCCAATGGCACTCCACTAAATTTGACCGAAATTGGCACACTACTAATGCCTTCACTTGCCATTTTTAAATTCGGACGCCATTTTTTGAGGAAAATGGGTTGCCCCCAATATACCAAGGGCCCCCTTCCAAGGCCTTATCCCTAGAACTCTCATTATCAAATTTCAAAATAAAGCCCCTAACCCCATTTGAGACAACACCAACCTTGTCGAAGCTCTTCCAATTCCTGTCGATAAAACCATTCACAAGAGAGAATGGCAACTTTCTACCGAGGAAGAATCCCACGAGACAATTTCCCTATTTATCCTTCCCCAAATCAGCAACCTCTTTGGGAGGTATAACCCTTATTCTCCTCCTGTCATCAAGGATTTTCGGTGCAAAATATTCTATTGGAGCACTAGATTTCGAAACAAAAAGTTTTCTCCAGGATGAAAAACCAACTGACTTTAATTACCCATTCACCTTTTCCCCAGTAGTCCCACCTCCACTCACCATTTTCTCGCCATGGATCATAATTGGAGGTGCATTTGAATCAACCAGCACATTCCCATCACACATTTCCCCACCAACCTTATCAATCGCTTTTCCACCCATAACTTGCTACTCCTTAATCACTCCACCGGAACACTTTGCCTCACTTGTATTCAAAGAATTCACAAGAAAAAGACCACCGGGAGGTAAACTATGGCTTTGGGAAGGTTTGGGAAATTGAGGGAAAAAATTGCTTTTGGTGATGTGGCATGGTTGGTGACGTGGCATCTTGGGTGACGTGGCATAATGAGTCAGCTTGAGTTTGATGAGGTGGAGGGGAGAGATGGATGATTGGTTGGTGAGTTGTCATAGTTTGAAGTCAATGAGATAAGAGATAAGGAAATCAAAGGGGGACCAATGAAAAACAAGTGAGGTGGCAAAAACTTATGAAACAGCCTTTTAACCAGTCCAAAGAGAATGTGGATAATAAAAAAATCTCAAAAATCCAAATGAGCCAATGGGAGATAAGAGTACCAATGGATAGCAATTGGAGGGATTCAAACAATCCCACCCAATTAGTGACCAATAACCCAAAATGGCAGACAACACTCCAGCCAAACAACAAAGCTCCAGCCAAAGTAATCACCCACACTTTGGTGACCAGCAAGAATCCGGCTACGAAGGTTATTCCACCCACCCACTCTACATTTCCGGTCAAAACAACACCACAAACAACCCCTTACTCCTACCTCACTTCAATACCAAACAACAACTCCAAAAAAATGAAAATAAATAAAACAACTCCAACAACAAGCAAACTTCGGCCACCCACCTCTTTCCCAATCCGACCAAGCCAAGAAACAGCCCACACAAACCAGCTCCACCACAACAGTCACCAACAAGCAAAAGAGAAGACAGTAAAGGCTAAGACAACAAACAACCTCAAGCTTGAGTTAAACCCAAATAAAACCCCCAAATGCATCAAGAAGAACTGAAATGTAACAAACTAAAAAGGTTAACAAAAACAGATAAACAAAATGCAGGTTGATGAAAGAAAACGTGAAAAGAAAAGTAATGGAAATGATGAAGGTGGCGGGTTAGAGGGACAGGTGATGTTTAATGGTAAAAGTGGAGGATGGAGGATGAGGGTGGAGAGAGGGGTGGCAGGTGGAGAAGAAAAACATGGAAAGAGGGCTGGTTTCTAATCCTAGAGAGAAGAGATAGCATTTTCTCTCACTAATCCTTACGTAAAGATTTTTCCGTGCCATTTCTGTAATTTAACTTACAATGAAAACTTCCAATGAACCAACTTGAAGCATCATATTTCATATTTCCTTGTAGGTATACCCTCTCATAAGTAGAAAGGGATATGCAAAAAAATTCAATACAAAGTGAGGAAATTTAGCATAGCAGCAAAGAGAGCTTTTGGAAGTAGAAAGTTACATTCTAAACTATTGATCTGCTATCATCCCAACACTCATATAAATCCTAGGTTTAAAAGGATGATAATTCAAAAAATAAGACTGCCAAGAGTTCAATAATGAAGGAGTGAGCCACTGAAGCAAAATAATTTAGCAAATTAAAATTCAGGTGGTAAATAATTGGACTCTCTAAACCAAGTAAACTTCTCTAAAGTCTATAGCTACTTCAATATCAACAGCCTAACTAGTGAGTCTATCTTGTTTCAATAACTAACCCACCTCCTGCCCTGTGTTTGAAAAATTAAAAGCAATGCTTTCCTAAGAGGGGAAAATGCACCAGAAGATGAATGCTTCCCCTCTTACAAACATTAAATAAACAATTTAGTGTAGAAGAAAAGGCAAATCACATATCAAGTCTAGTGACATAAGAGATCCTGTACATGATTACCTGTTGATGTAAAAGAAAAGGATTAAAAGTTGTCATAAAATTACTAAAATAGCCCTGAAAAGAAATGAGGTATCTTGAAATAATATAATGTCCAAAATGAAGTAATGACTTCCAGTGAGAATCTACCTATCTGTGAAAATTTAGAGTTAAGATGAAATATTAAGAGGAATACTATAGTTTGATTCTTCAAAGATGAAGCAACTAGGCACCTAATTAGACATCAAGACAAATTAAAACATATTGAATTCAAGTCAGACTTGACCAAGTTTTTTTTTTATTTTTTTTTTTGGGGGTAACTAAGCTTTTATAGAAAGGGGAAAGAATGTACAAAAGGCCTAAAATTCGGCCAACCTACCTCAGGACAAGCCCTGGGTTAGGAGCAAAGGAATGATACAATTTAAGTCTACCCCTAATCTTCTCTTTTTCCCATTCCTATTGTCAAAAGAATGGAACCAAGCGGAGATTAAAGAATACAATGAATCCCACCTACCACAGGACATGCCCTGGGTTAGGTTCAAAAGTAACAGAATACAAAACCCATATGCATAAGCATTAAAAAGAAGACAAAGCACTATATCAACACCCCAAGTCTTCCAATTGCCAAAGTAGCCTCTTCTAGCACAATCACCCGCCGGGATGTCATATAACCAAATCCCCTTACACAACAAAAAACCCATCACATAACAACAAACCATATAATTAACTCCCATGGGATGTTTTAAAAATAGACATGGGGACACCCTATTTCTCGGCAAGTCTTCTATTGTAGGTATTCTTTATGATCTTGTTAAGGTCCATAGCTCTCTCCCTCACCACATTCTTGATGAAGTTGTAGAGATTATGTGCATCCTTGCATTCCCCACAAAAAATCCGGCTATTCCTCTCTCTCCAAATAGAGTAAACGGTGGCTCCCAAACTTAGCTTCCCTACAGAGTACTTTAGCTTATTCTTCCTCCACCTACTAGCTATGTGCTCAACATAATCGTTCCAAGGTCGGGTGACATACCCAAGAGAAAAGAGCTCAAGGATTCGGTTCCAAATCCTTTGGGTGAAAGGACAAGCAAAAAAGAGATGATCGATCATTTCTTGCCCATGATTAAAAAAACAACACACATTGCTAGAAGCTATTCCATACCTCATCAGTTTGTCCCTGGTCTGAAGCCGATCCTTACATGCCATCCATGTGATCGTGGAGTGTCGTGGAATAGCTTTTGGGAACCATACAAGGTGATGCCACTCCACTCGGTGTTAGTGCACACGAGTAACCTCCCAAGCCGATTTTATAGAGAACTTACCAGATGCATTAGGCTTCCAAACAACCACGTCCTCGCCCTCCTTTGGATCAAAGTCGATAGAATCCTTCATGTCCATCAAAGCCCAAGAATTAGCCATTGGCCATCTCCACCTTGTCCTATCCCAAATCTCACACACCTTAGCAAGATGATGTAGCCCCGAATAATACACAACACGCCTTCCATATCTATCCTTGAGAGGGCCTCTTGGGTGCCAATTATCATGCCAAACATAAGTTGCTTGACCATTTCCGATGATGGCTTTGATGTGCTCTTTAGCTTCCCTTCTAAGCTTCAAAACGCTCCTCCAAGCCCAATAAGCATTCGAAGGTATAGGAATCTCCCAAAAGCTCTTCCTTGCCAAGTAGGTTGCTTTGATCCACTCAACCCATCCGAAGCCACTACATAATTGATTAAGATTCCAAACATGTCTCAACATGGTTGCCTTATTCCAATCCTTAGCTCTCACAATCCGCAACCCACCTTCTTTAATAAGGACACAAACCTCTTCCCATGCAACTTTGGCCTTTGAGGTTTTCATGTCACTCCCAGACCATAGGAAAGCCCTTAACTTAGCATCAATTTCATTGAGGATCTTTGAAGGGAGTACGAAAGTGGATGACCAATAAACTTGAATGCTAAAAAGAATGGCTTTAATGAGAATTACCCGACCAGCATAGGAGAGGAATTTGCTCCGCCAAGATTGAATGTGAGCCAAGATTTTGTCCACCAAAGGTTTGCAATCAGCAAGGGAAAGCTTTTTGGTTATGAGAGGGACACCCAAATACTTCATTGGTAGTTTTCCTTCTTGATACCCAAGGATCGGCAAAAGATCTTGTTTGCTCTCATCACTCACCCCGAGAAAAAAATGTTGCTTTTTGAGCGGTTTGCTTCTAACCTCGCCCAAAAAATGAAACGATCCAATGCTCTCTTGACAATGCCAAGAGAGTTTTCATCCGCGTGGCAAAAGATCATTAAATCATCTGCAAAACAAAGATAGGTTAGGTTTAACTCTTTGCACCTCAAATGGTGCTTAAAAGAAGGTTCAGTCGTTACTCTATTTAGAAGTCTTGACCATGGCAATCACAAAGAGATAGTGAGAGATAGGGTCTCCCTGCCTAAGCCCTCTAGAACCATTAAAGAATCTGGTTAATTCCCCATCAACGGCTATGGAGTATTTAGGAGTTTTGATGCACTCCTCTACCCACCTAATAAACTTCAAAGGAAACCCAAGAAGCTTTAGAGCTTTAATAACAAAATCCCATCTTACAAAATCATAAGCTTTCATAAGGTCTACCTTCATTGCACATCGAAGTCAGAGAAGTTCTTGGCTCAAGAGGATATTGTCCACAATTTTCCTCCCCCCCCCCCCCACGAAGGCATCTTGGGCTTTGTTGACGAACTGGGGCAAAACTTTTTTAACTCTATTGGCCATAATCTTGGAGATGCATTTGTAGATGGTGTTACAACATGAGATCGGCCGAAACTCACTACAAGATGAGGGGTTTTCATTCTTTGGGACTAAAGCAATAAGGGCACAATTCACCTCTCTAAGCATCTTCCCAGAATTGAAGAAATTTTGGATCAATTTAACAACATCATGACCTACAATATCCCAAGCTTTTTTAAAGAAAAAAGCTCCATAACCATCTAGCCCCGGTGCTTTGTCTTTACTCATTCCAAACATGGTCTCTTGAATCTCTTCTTTGGAAACCTCACTAATCATGGAGTTGGCCTCCTCCTCCAAAATAACAGGGGTGATAAGTTCCTCCATGCTCTCATAGGAAACGCTCGCACACTTATCTTCGAAAAGATTTGAGTAGAGAGACACAAACTCCTCTTTGATTCTATCTTGATCACTAGTAACCAAATCTTCCCCAATTTCCAAGGACACAATCTTATTTCTATTCCTCCATCCAGCAATCAATTTAAAGAAGTAAGATGTGTTGGCATCCCCTTCCCGTAACCATTTAACCCTAGACTTTTGCTTGGCTAATGATTCTTCAGCTTTTGAAAGCTTGACCATATTTTCCACCTTAACTTTCTCCTCTTGCAAAAGAGCACCATCAATCGGATCCACAACAAGCCTTTCTTGGACTTGGGCTAGATCATCTCTAGCAGATTTCACTCTTTCTGAAATGTTCCAAAACTCTTTTATATTTAGTCTCTTAAGCTCAACCTTCATCGCTTTTAGCTTAGAGACCAGCCTGTACATGGGGTTACCCTCCACCTCCAAACTCCACACTCTCTCCACCATAGGTAAAAAGTCCTCATGCTCTGCCCAAAAGTTGAAAAACTTGAAAGGGGATTTCTTACCTTGAAAGTTCAGCCCACTATCAACCACCATTGGGCAATGGTCCGATATGCTCGGAGTAAGGAAGGATGCAAAAGAGTTGGGAAACTTGCTGCTCCAATGCTCATTACACATCACTCGATCATGTTTGCACCAAATCCTCCTATTGAGCTCTCCTCTGTTATTCCAAGTGAAGAATGACCCAATGGCATTAAGATCATCAATATCAACTTCCTTACACATGTCATTAAACTCCTCAAATTGCGAATTCCATTGATTAGAACCTCTCTTCTTTTCCGTCGCAAATCTAACTGCATTAAAGTCACCCATAGTAACCCATGGCTCACGGTGGCTAACATTGGCATGGTGAATAAGCTCCTTCCATAGCTCCTTCCTTTCACCCACACTATTCATCCCATAGACAATAGAACAAAAGAGCATGGAATTGTCTTTCATAATTCTAACCTTACAAAGAATTGCTTGAGCCGAAGTTTGGATGACCTGCACATGCAAAATATCTCCATCCCAACCCACCCAAATTCTCCCCCTTTCACAAAAACAATAGTTCTTAACCATAGCCCAATTGCAGAACACCATTTTCTTAACAACATCCATATTATTCTCCCTAACCCTGGTCTCCAAAACAGCATATAAACTTAAATTATTGCTACTAATAAGGTTCCTTACCTCTTTTTGTTTAATGGGGGAACTAAAGCCCCTCACATTCCACGCGGCAACTTTAACCATGGCTATGAGGTAGCTTCGGTGGAGTTCTCGCCTTCTTCGCTAGTTTCTTCCTTTTATTCTTAGAAAAGCTTCCCATTTCCTTCTCCAATCTTTCCTTTTCATCCACGCGTACTAGGTTCCCAAACAGTTGACAAATTGGAGAGCTAGTTCCCATGTCACCGTCCTCAAACACATTCAAGAAAACAGCCTTGGTAGTTGGAGTTCTCTCCTCCCTATCCTCATTGGCATTTGAAGTTTCCTCCCCCAAAACTGCTCTACCACACTCTGTTTCACTTTCCAGCCCTTCCTCAATACCATTCCCGCTCTTCCTCTCCTCCATATCGGCAACATCTCTCTTTTCCTCACCCTCTTCGAATAGCACCACAAATTGGTTCACACTCTCACAAGGTTTAGCGCCCTCACCTTCCTTCTTTCCCTCTACCCTTTGTTGACTTACTTCTCGAGAGACACTCATATTTTTCTTACTAGCAACTCTTCTCCATTCTTGCACATGAGGAGAAGTCGGCTTTTTGGGTAACAATGGTTCGGTTTCCTTAGGAGCCAAATGACAGTTTCTTTGGATGTGCCCAAACATTTTGCACCAAGCACAGGTAAATGGCTTCCATGCATACTCCACCTTAACTAATGCAATCTCACCACTCGGCATCTCTAGCTGAAATTCCTCCTTAAACTCTACCGAGAATCCATCTCAACGCACACTTTAGCAAATTCAAGTATTTCGCCCGATTTGGTAATATTGTCCATATAAAGAGGGGTGTCTATTACACTTACTATATGGCTTAAACCCTTGGGGGTCCATAACTCAAGAGGGATACTGTAGAATTTTGCCCATATGGGTATCCTAGTAATCCCATTCATGCCCAACGACAAATTAGGAGTCTATAACTTCAGAAAGAAAGGTTACCCTCCTATGAACCATGGACCACCCTCCAACACATCCATTTTAGTAACCTCATCTGGGAACTTGAGCAAATAGCCGCCATGCCCATATGAAGTAACCCCCACAGCTCCAAAACGACTCCAATTTCTATCAACATAGCTCTTTACTTGGTAAAACGGTAATTTCTTCCCAAGGAAAAACCCGACTAGAATTTTAACTATTTTTATCCATATTTAACCAGAAAAACCACAGTGCTCTTTAAAAAATGAAATCCCCAAAAACAAAATCAAAGAAAATGATACCTAGAAAATTAATCTTCCCAAATAAACAATCAATAAAGTTTAACGAAACCCACACTCTAGCACAATTAGTGAACCTCACAACATACATACGTCCTAATTCTCAATCTTCCTATGCCTAAAATTTAAAAAGCAAATGTGTGTGAGATACCTTACCTTTGGTGGACAAAATCTTGGCTCGCATTCAATCTTGACGGAGCAAATTCCTCTCCTATGCTGGTTGGGTAATTCTTATTAAAGCCATTCATTTTAGCATTCAAGTTTATTGGTCATCTACTTTCGTGCTCCCTTCAAAGATCCTCAATGAAATTGATGCTAAGTTAAGGGCTTTCCTATGGCCTAGGACTGACATGAAAACCTCAAAAGGCAAAGTTGCATGGGAAGCAGTTTGTGTCCCTATTTAAAAAGGTGGGTTGGGATTGTGAGAGCTAAAGATTGGAATAAGGCAACCATGATGAGACATGTCTGGAATCTTAATCAATTACGTAGTAGCTTCGGATGGGTTAAGTGGATCAAAGCAACCTACTTGGCAAGGAAGAGCTTTTGGGAGATTCCTATACCTTCGGATGCTTCTTGGACTTGGAGGAGCATTTTGAAGCTTAGAAGGGAAGCTAGAGAGCACATCAAAGCCATCATCAAAAACGGTCAAGCAACTTATTGATGCAAACCAATGAGCTAGACAAGCTGATCATACACATGGGAATGGAGCTAAATTTGCACAAGACCCTTTATCACTTCCTAGTGGACCAATTACAAGACTTAGAGCCAAACGTTTCAAGGAAGCACTAAATGGACTAATCCAAGAGAATTGGGCTGATTCTAAAAAGACCAAGGTGGGCTCAAATAATAATCAAGGCTTAGTCCATGTCATCAAAGCAATTGAAGAGGCTAATTAGCATGCAAAAACGTGACCAGCATGGTCTGACCATTAAAGGGCGTGAATTTGTTGAGTTTCAAGGATATTAAATAGGGGAATGCTGATGGTCTTGGCTAGTTATGTTAAATACATTGAATTTAGTCATTTAGTTATTTTTCGGTTGCCTCTAAAAGTCCAAGAGGCCTAAAACGTGGGGACTTGTTTATGTTGATGTTTGTGTTGCTTTTAAAGTTGTATTTATGACTTTTCCTATTCTTGGAGGGTTGTTCCAAGTATATAGATGGGCATTACGAATTTTAATGGACATATTTGGTTTTCAGAAAATTATTATCATTGTGAGGTCTTGTGTTCCTCTCCGTTCTTGAAAGAACTCATGAACTTATCAAGTTAATCTTGTGGCGTTCAAACAACCAAACTTATCACCTTGATTCTTGAGAGATTCTTAGGTTTCTTGGTGTGGCGTTTCAATCCTTCGTAGTCTTGGTTTTCATCTAGTTAGGTGACAGGTCAAGGCTTGTCTACACGATCTTGGGGTTCCAAACCATCATTGTTATCGGGTTTCATCACAATTGTTGGTGGAGTTCATATCATTTGGTATCAGAGCTTTGGTTCTAAGGCAAGTTTGACTATCTTTTATTTTCGTTTTTTTTTTTTATTAAAAAAAAAAAAAAGAAAAAAGAAAAAAGAAAAAAAAGAGTACACGATTCCAATAAGAAAATTTCTTCATTTCAATCTTGTTTCTCACCTTATTCAAGTTCTTGACCTTTTGATGAGTTTTGGTTGTTTCTCATTTTTTGAATTGCTTCTGGATTATTTTGAATTAGTTTCTTGAAGTTCGATTCAGAACTAAAGAAGACACAAAACAGTGAAAAAAGGCAAGAGTGTGTGAGACCATAAGAGGGTAAAAGCCGTTTAGAGTGAGAACACGAGTGCAAGTGTATCAATTCTTGAGTGAAATACGTGAGGGAGTGCTTGTGAGGATTCTAAACATGTCCAATAATCAAGAAGAAGACACAACCGAAGAATATCGACAACCCGCAGATCCGAACCTCCAAATGCAAGCGTTGTTAGTGAAAATGAGGAGTATGTTGAGGGCTGAATTAGAACCTATTCACGTGGGGTTGGACAGGGTAGAAGCGGGAACTCCTAGGGGACAGCAACAAGACATCCCCAATAGGTAGCAAGGTAGGCGTGTTTCGTGGCAAAATGTTGAGGAAGAGGCGGAGGTGGAGGAGTTTGATGAGCCATATTTGAACCGGGGCAGGTTTGAGCGTGGCTATGGGAATAGAAAAGCTAGGATGGGTAGGCCTAGAAGGGATAATGATTTAGGAAACATAAAGATTAAAATCCCATCTTTTCAAGGTAAAAATGATCCTGAAGCTTATTTGGAGTGGGAAACTAAAATGGAGATGGTGTTTGAATGTCACAACTACTCGAAGATAAAGACGGTTAAGTTGGCCGCAATTGAATTCACCGATTATGCCATTGTTTGGTGGGATCAATTACTGATTAATAGGAGGAGAAACAGAGAGCCACCTGTGGACACTTGGGAGGAGATGAAAATGCTTATGAGGAAGTGTTTTTCACCCAGCCACTATTATAGGGGATTGTATCAAAAGTTGCAAAGGTTAATTCAAGGCTCCAAGAGTGTGGATGAGTATTACAAGGAGATGGAGATAGCTATGATCCAGGCTAATGTAGAAGAGGACCGGAAAGCCACCATGGCTAGGGTTTTGCATGGTTTAAATCATGAGATTGCGGATATAGTCGAGTTGCAGCACTATGTTGAGTTGATGGATATGGTGCATCAAGCCATAAAGGTGGAGGAAAAATTCAAACGGAAGGGATTGGCTAGGTGGGGACAACCTATGGCTACCACCAGCCCGTGGAAGACAACTCCAAAAAGGGACGACCAGCTACAAAATAAGCCAAAATTTTAACCCTCTAAGAATGCCAAACCAACGACCGCCACTACTCTAGGTAGCACCGAGGCTTCTACTTCTAAAACACGTGATATTAAGTGTTTTAAAGGTCAGGGGTGAGGACACATAGCTAGCTAGTGTGTAAACAAAAGGGTGATGGTGATAAACGCCCAAGGAGAACTTGAGTCAGAGAATGAGGAAGAAGTAGATGATGATGACATGCCAACTTTGGAGGATGCCGATGATGAGCAACATGCTGTGGTTGGAGATTTATTGGTGGCAAGGTGAGTTCTCAATGTGCAGGTTAAGGAGGAAGAAAGTAACCAAAGGGAGAACTTGTTTCATACTTGGTGCTTTGTAAATAACAATGTTTGTAGTGTCATTATCGATGGAGGGAGTTGCACAAACGTAGCCAGCACTTATTTGGTGGAGAAATTGGCCTTAACCACCTTGAAAGATCCTCGCCCTTACCGGCTTCAATGGCTGAATGATTGTGGCGAAATCAAGGTGACAAAGCAAGTGTTGGTGGCATTATCCATTGGCAAATATGAGGATGGGGTGCTTTGTGATGTGGTTCCTATGCATGCATGCCATTTATTGTTGGGAAGACCATGGCAATATGATATGAGGGTTACGCATGATGGATTCACAAATAGGCATTCTTTCACTCTTAAAGGGCAACCTATTACTCTTGTACCATTAACTCCAAAACAGGTCATGGAGGACCAACTAAAGTTACAAAGATCAAATGAAAAAAAGAAAGAAAAAAAAAAAAGCCGAAATTGAGAAAAAAAAGTTTAGAAAAAAAAAAGAAAGAGAGAAAAACATTGATCAGCGTGAAAAAAAAAAAGAGAGGATTTCAGCCATAGTGAGAGTAAGAGAGGAAAAAT